CCTTTAAGTTGGTCAGTGTGAATTGGGGAAAAGGCCATGCAACTCTGAGCTCAGTGGTGCTTATCAAACAGCTGATTGGCGGTGATAAGATAGGCGCAGCATTAGACATGCTATCCATGGTTTTTGTTTGTTTTTTTGTAATTATTATTATTATTATGTCTAGATGAAAGTTAAAAACCTCTTTATTTTACTTTAAAATAGACTTCTACTTATCTAATGCATATGATAAATTACACATATCTAAATAGGACCAAAGCTCGGTCTACTGCTGATGTGAAATAATCTATACAGGAGACTTGAACTATATTTAAGCCTCGTGCACATGGTAAGAATATTGGGCGAAAAGTACCACTTTCAGAGCAATCGTCCAATAATCTGATTGTTGGTACATAGCTTTCGAGAGCCAATAACAACAGTTCATGTGACAATATCTGAATGGACAAGCACAAAAATGTTTCTCTTTTCAATAACAGAACAAACAATTTTCGTTTAACTAGTACAATATTTGTCCATAAAAAAATCGAGAGACCAAGACCACGCATATTTAGAAATGAAACAATACAATATAATACATTACATCACTTCCAACGTTGTATTCTGCCGTATGAGAATTTTTTCGTAATTTTAGTAACCTCTTCATTTTTTTGTATGCGTAGCATGCAAAAAAATGGGCAATCATTTGTCCAATATTTTCATTGTGTGTACTAGGCTTTAGAGACTGTATACTATGTGCACAATTATTAGGTATGAGTATCATGCCCAAATCATTTTTTTGCATGTTGTCCAGCTCCAAGCTGTATAAACTTGAATTCTTATTGTATTTAAGCATATCAGGTGATGCGTATTTGTGTAATGAAGGAGGGTATGGCCTAAGGAGATCAACATCCTATATCAAGGTGTGCATAATTATTAGGCAGCTTCTTTTCCTCAGGCAAAATGGCCAAAAAACAAATTTAACTCGGAAAGTCAAAAATTGTAAAAAGTCTTTCAGAGAGATGCAGCACTCTTGAAATTGCAAAGTTTGATGGTTCTGTGATCATGCCCCAATATCTTAGCAAACAGTCAACAGGGTCGCAACCACGCAAACGTGTTGAGAAAAAGATGCAACTGCCAGAGATTTAAGAAGAATCAAACGTGAAGCTACCAGGAACCCATTTTCCTCCAGTGTTATATTCCAGGACTGCTACCTACCTGGAGTTCCCAGAAGTACAAGGTGTTCAGTGCTTAGAGACACGGCCAAGGTAACGAAGGCTGAAATCTGACCACCACTGAACAAAACACATAAGTTGAAATGTCAAGATTGGACCAAGAAATATCTGAAGACAGATTTTTTTCAAAGGTTTTATGGACTGAGATGAGAGTGATTCTTAACAGACCAGATGGATGGGCCCTTGCTGGATCAGTAAAGGGCAAAAAGCTCCTCCACTTCGACTCAGATGCCAGCAAGGTGGAGGTGGGGTACTAGTATGATCTGGTATTATTACCTCCCTGGAGGTATTCCCGAGTGTAGCTCAGGGTAAAGTTTCAGCACCACAAGCGGTAACCCCAAGCTACACTCGGGAATACCTTGCAGCGCTGCTCCGGGATCCCTTCTTCACTTACTTTGTCTTTCGCTCCCGCGATGTCCCTCCTGCAGTGTCCCCTGCAATGTCCTCCAGCCAATGCCGGCATCTTTCTTCTGGGTTCCGTTCCCTGCAACGTCAGGACGTACGAAGACAGAACGGCGGGAAATTAAAAAATGTGAAAAAGTGACATTCATTAAATACACTGAAATCACATAGTAAACATTACTGTATCAAACCATTCCACATACATTTTGTCCCTAGTGCTTTGTCCTGTGCCCTGCCTGCATTTTTACTGTTCTTTCTGCCTGGAAACTGAGAAATGTCCATGGCGTCCAAAAAGCATCCCTTTAGGTCAAAAGCGGTTTTAGACCAGCTAGAGAACAGCAATAGTAAATTAGAACTACTTGCAGAATTGAGTGATAATTCGTGGGGAAATTCATCATCAGACACTGACAACGATTTTGCGACTTTGCTCAGCGATGTGCGAACTTGGCACTATATTTCAAATTTCAGTGTTTTTGGTTTGATTAGATTATTGAATTAAGTTTATTATTTTTTATGATTTTTAATAAATTATAATTTATGATTTTGTGTTTCAAATATTAACATACCAGGATGATTACTAGACTCTTGTTCGGACAGATTTCAGTGAGTTATTCCTAAAAATTACAGGCCTACAATAAAAAAAACTACATATTTCCAAGCAAAAAAATGTACCGCTTTGAGCACAGAAATACTGACATAATCAGACCGCTAGGGAGGTTAAAGATGAGCTAATTAGACCTTTTCAGGTTGAAGATGGACTCAAAATCAACTCCCAAGCCTACTGCCAGTTTTTAGAAGAAACGGTCTTCAAGCAGCGGTACAGGAAAAAGTCTGCATCTTTCAAGAAGACTATGATATTTATGAGAACAATGTTCCATTGCATGCATCAAAGTACTCCACTGCGTGGCTAGCCAGTAAAGGCCTTAAAGATGAAAGAATAATTACATGGCCCCCTTCCTCACCAGACCTAAACCCTACTGAGAACTTGTGCACCCTTCTCAAAAGGGAGATTTACCGTGAAGGAAAACATTACACCTATCTGAATAGTGTCTGGGAGGCTGTGGTTGCTGCTGCACAAAAAGAAACTGATAGACTTCATGAATGGAAGGTTTATGACTGTTTATGAAAAGGATGGCTATATTGGTCATTTTAATGTCAGAAATGTTTGTTTGTAAATTTTGATCTGTTCGTTTATTATTCTCACTTTAACACATGGAAAACTAGTGAGAAAATATTTGTTTTTCATTTACATTGCCTTGAAAGGATTCATACTCCTTGAAATTTTCCACATTTTGTCATGTTAGAACCAAAAACGTAAATGTATTTTACTGGGATTCTGTGTGATTGACTAACACAAACTGGCACATAATTGTGAAGTGAAAGGAAGATGTAAATGGTCTTCAATATTTTTTACAAATAAATATCTGAAAAGTGTGGCATGCATTTGTATTCATCCTCCCTGAGTCAATACTTTGTAGAACCACCTTTTGCTTCAATTACAGCTGCAAGTCTTTTTGGACATGTCTCTACCAGCTTTGCACTAAAGTCTAATCTAATCTAATCTAATCTAAAGTGACATTTATGCCCATTCTTCTTTGCAAAATAGTTTAAGCTCTGTCAGATTGGATGGAGAGCGTCTGTGAACAGTAATTGGATTTAGGTCTGGACTTTGACTAGGCCATTCTAACACATGAATATCATTTTGATCTGAAGAAAAGCATCCCCACAACATGATGCTGCCACCACCATGTTTCACAGTGGGGATGGTGTGTTCAGGGTAATGTGCAGTGTTAGTTTTCCATCACACATAGCATTTTGCTTTTAGGCCAAAAAGTTTAATTTTGGTCTCATCTGACCAGAGCACCTTCTTCCACATATTTGCACTGTCCCCCACATGGCTTCATGCAAACTGCAGACAGTACTTCTTATGACTTTCCTCCTTTTTGCCACTTTTCCTTAAAGGCCAGATTTGTGGAGTGCACGACTAATCATTTTCCTGTGGACAGATTCTCCCACCTGAGCTGTGGATCTGTGCAGCTCCTCTAGAGTTACCTTGGGCCTCTTGGCTGCTTCTCTATTAATGCTCTCTTTCCTTGCCTGGCCTGTCAGTTTAGGTGGACAGACATGTCTTGGTAGGTTTGTAGTTGTACCATACTCTTCATTTTCGAATGATGGATTGAACAGAGCTCCATGAGATGTTCAAAGCTTGGGATTTTTTTTAATAACCTAACCCTGCTTTAAACTTCTCCACAACTTTATCCCTGACCTGTCTGGTGTGTTCCTTGGCCTTCAAGATGCTGTTTTTTCACTAATGTTCTCTAACAAACCTCTGAGGGCTTCACAGAACAGCTGTATTTATACGGAGATTAAATTACACACAGATGGACTCTATTTACAAATTAGGTGACTTCTTAAGGCAATTGGTTCCACTAGATTTCAGTTAGGGGTATCAGAGTAAAGGGGGCTGAATACAAATGCACGCCACACTTTTCAGATATTTATTTGTAAAAAAAAGTTTGAAAACTGTAATTTTCCTTCCACTTCACAATCATGTGCCACTTCGTGTTGATCTATCACATAAAATCACTAATAGTTCCCCAATAATTATGCACACAGTTATTTTCCTAAGAGCCAAAACCTCACTTTTACTTTCTTAAATATTCAGGTTTGAGGTTTGGATTGACCAAGAGCACTGTAGTTGTTCAATAGTGAAATGAATCCTAAAAAAATACTCCTTATCTAATAATTGTGCACACAGTGTACATATTCTTCAATGTGATAGATGAGATAATTAGGTGCAACATTAATCGGTACGATTCTGGAGGCAAACATGACCAATATTTTTAGTTTTGTGGTGCTAGGCTCTTTACCAACCTGTTATCCATATCTAAAGGAAGAGCAAATCAGTAAAGTTACATTTGTTGGTTTGACCCCCTTTTAATACTATTGCACTTATAGAACTTACAATCTTTTCTGTGTTGAAAATCCTACATTAGTTAGTTTGCCTAAATGTACTGGTCTCTATTTAGTAATTATGAACTGTAGCAGTATCTTATTCAATCTAATTCTTGTTCAGAAAACAATGGACAGCGAGATATAATAAAACAAGACTCTGGATATAATGTATCACTATAGTTTAGTTTATATTTTAGAACAGCTCACTTAGTAATGAAGGTGTAATAAAAACACCAGCAGTGTTCCAGTTTTTGTTTTCATAGCTTTGTACTTGTCTAGATAGATCCCAAGAGCAGGGTAACTGATGCACAATTTGCTATATTGTGCCTCATGGCTTGACTGTCACTTTACTGTATGTATATCTAGCCATATATGAGACTTCTATATTTCAAGACACTTAAGTAATTTGGTTATGTTTGTACTCTCTTTTTCCAGCTGCTGGTCTTATGCACACATTTAATGCTCACGCCGCTACAGACATAACAGGGTTTGGAATTTTAGGACATGCGCAAAATTTGGCTAAACAGCAACGAAATGAAGTTTCCTTTGTAATTCATAATCTGCCTGTATTAGCAAAGATGGCTGCTGTCAGCAAGGCATGTGGAAATATGTTTGGTCTTATGCATGGCTCTTGTCCTGAAACCTCGGGTAAGTTTTACTGTAAGTGTTATATAATTACTATACTACTGGCTTAACTGCAATCTTAAGTTTCATTTAACACCGTGGTATGGTAATATGTTGTTCCTCCATGAGCTTTATTTTCACGTGAACAAGTGGCCAGCTATTGGCATTCGGATATTTACATATTCCTAACAAGCCATAAATGAGCTTTAACTACTTGACAACCAGCAACGTATCACTAAGTCACTAGACTTCAAGAGGTTATACCAGGATGATGCTTGCAGCTGCAGACATCATCCCGGTATGGTGGGTTTTTTTTTTTTTTCAGCCAACAATTAGCTATTTTGTAAAAAAATAAGTGGCTATTTAGCCGCTGGATTGCTTTTACAAGCAGTGGGAGGAGACATCGCCTTCCGTGGCTCTCTCTGGCTCCCCCGTCCCACCGGACGCCCCAAGTTTCAAACCGGCATTTCTGCAGACTGACCATAGAGGTAATCGGAGACTAGAATGGATCCGATCATCTCTATGGTATAGGAAACCAGAAGCAATGGGGCATTTCATCACTTCCAGTTTCGTGGTTGTGTACACTTATTGGTTTTTAAAAAAGCATTGGCTCATGCAGATCTTGGTAGGATCTGAAATTTTTAAGGGCAGAGGAGAGATCCGGGGTCTAATAGACCCTGGATCTCTCAGTAAAGAGTACCTGTCACTGCCTATTACTATAATGGGATGTTACAAAATTTAAAGTGATAGTGTAAAAAAAAATATTTTTAAGCACCCCCAATCCCCCTGTGCTTGTGTGCAAAGGTGACCACATACATCTGTCCCATACACAAATGGTAATTGTATCACCGTGAACACCAGGTCAAGGGCAGTTATATTAGCACCAGACCTTCTGTTTAAATCTAAAGTGGTAACCTGTAAATGCTTTTAAAGCATTGCCTATGGATAATAATATTTACGTTTTGTCGCCATTGCACGGGCATGTCCGTTTTAAAACATAACATGTTTGGTATCTATTTACACGTTGTAATATCCTTTTCTATTTTACCAAATAATTGGGTATTATATTGTGTTTTTGTGCATTAAAATTCAAAAAGTGTATTTTTGCTCAAACAAATTGCATCTGAAAGACCACTGTGCAAATACCGTGTGGCATTAGAAAAAAAAAATCCAACACCCATAATTTTATTTTCTAGGGCCTCTGCTTTAAAGTAAGTCATTTTCTAGCAAAAAAACAAACAAAAACGTCTTTATACATGTAGACAAAAGGTGTCAGAAAAGGCTTTGTCTTCAAGAGCACCTACTGACTTTTGTAGCTACAGGCATTTTGAAGCAATTCATTTTTAAAACCCAAAGGTACGGTTTCTTGAATATGGAAATACTTTATCGTTTGTAGCCTGGAAACAGGTTCACGTTAATGCCGAACCTATATGGATTAAAGAGCAATGAAGTGTTGTATAGAAATTTTAAAAGTTTACACTGGATGCCACTGATGACCAGATTTTTTGCAGGTATGTTTCTCAGTGCTTGAAATTGAATGTGAACCTCCATAATGTACATATTTACTTTTGTTTTCATGTTTTTAAAAAAGCTACAGGCACACAGCTATATAAGGTTGAAAATAATGTATGTATATTGCTTTATGTGGTAAGAAAGTTATGTTATCCAGGAATCCTGTGCCAGGCAGCAAGGCCAAGTTGATGACCTCCCCTGCAATTAGCTTGTATAGCTTGGTCGCAGATTTTTCTCCTAATCTGTTACCTAGACAGTGAAGGAGCAGCACCACACTAAAAAATAGTCATTCTGCACTTTCCTCAGCAGGGGACAAGCACCCAGGGTTATATAGGCAGCATCCGTTGATGCAATAGAGTCTGATTGAAACCTAGAAACAGAAAAGTGACAGCAGAAAAAGACTGGTGAGCATTGCCTTAGTTGTTTTCCACATTTTTATTTAAATCCCCAAGTCGAACACAATTGGTGTTCTGCCTACATGATTCTGGGCTGTGGCCAATTTAGTGTTTTTCGCATTTTTAATTTCAGACTGTGTGTAACCAACATTTTATAAAAAAAAAGAATAAGGTCTGCTGATTTTTTTTTTTTTTTTTTTTTTTTTTTTTTTTAACATGTAGTCAGAATTTGACTTTTTAAGTGGATTACAGCAATTTGTTATTAGTGCCAAAAAGAGCAATAATGTCCTATTTTAAATAATACAGTCCCCTGTGCTTAGCTTACTATAATTAATTTGCTTTGCAATATTCTCATCACAATTTAATACATCACTCTTAAATCTTTAGTTTTTTTTCTTTTATCATAAATTTGAAAATATAAACTAAGGTTTCCACATGGAAATATCAATTTATCACCAACAGCAGCTATATAAAATGGTTTCTGTGGATGTGAGAGTGTAGTTATTACTAATAGGCTTGTGTGGCAATTTCCCAGAGAGCTTTGCATCTGCTTCACATAGAGAGTCAAGAGTTAAAGACCAGGTTAAAGCATTGTCTACACAATGAGCAAATCAGACGAAAAATACAGCTTTCGGCGTTATTGTCCAATAATCTGGTAGTTAGTACACAGCTTTCTAGAGCCGATTACAACAGTTCATGCAAAATTATCTGAAGGGAAAAGCACAAATATTTTTCTCGTACGATAACAGAACAAATTATTTTCGTTTAATCATTGCAGTATGCATCCATAAGGCTAACATGAAAAAAAAAAAAAAAAGACGATGATGTCACTGATAGGCTTACTATGGGGCATGTGTTATCAGTTGTCCCTCCACTACACTGAAGCTGGCACTGGGAACAGTTCCAGGACTGGAATTCCACTTTTCCACTTTATTCTGTTTTATACATTCCCGTTGACTTGTATGGGGATATAAACCATTCTGATGCTAGCAAAAGATCATCGAAGTAGGCTTAAGAATTATCCACAGCACTTAAAGTGTAAACTATTCAGGCGTTGGACTCTCTAGCCATTATTTCATTGGTATTCAGTGGTCAATTGCTTTACCAAGTGATGTAAAGTAATTTTCTAATTATAGTACATTAAAGAGGGATCATGTTTTTAATGCACTAAATGTATCCTAAAGCTGACTGACCATATAAAGAGGAAAATATACGCCTGTGTGTTCATTGCTTTTAAATGCCGCGTTCTTTTTTTTTTTTTCCCTTCACGTGGAACAAAATAAAGCTTTTTCAAATATAACCATGTTTTCATGTTTTTTTTTATGCGTTCTTTTACAGGAGGTCTTCTGATCTGTTTGCCACGAGAACAGGCTGCACGCTTCTGTGCTGAAATTAAATCCCCCAAGTATGGAGAAGGTCACCAAGCATGGATTATTGGCATTGTAGAAAAGGGCAACCGTACTGCCAGAATCATAGACAAGCCACGAATCATTGAAGTTGCTCCTCAAGTGGCTACTCAAAATGTTAATCCAACTCCTGGTGCCACTTCTTAATTAAGGCTTACCTAGCTTTTTTGTTTTGTTTTTAAATAGACCCTATTCTTTACCATCATACAATTTAAATAATTGTAAAAAAGTATATATATATAAATATATATCATTGTGTCTACCCATTTCTTGGCCTTGGGTCCAGTACTGGAATGGGTATGACTTAAGAAGTAAAAATTCATTGCCTTTCTTTTTTTTTTTTTTTTTTTTTTTCTTTTTTTTTTTTTTTCTTTTTTTCTCGTTTGGTTTTTTTGTTTGTTTTTTTTTTGGGCTTTTTACTTTTTTTTTAATTTTTTTTTTTTTTTTATGTCAGTTTTTCCCTATTTCCTGTTACATTAACTGAAGATGCACCTAATCTTAAGGCAGCTTCTAAGTTGACGAATTGTTATCCGATACAGTTGATTCATTTTGAATCTATAGACACTTATCTCTTGCCGCATAGGCTCTTTTTTTAAAGGTGCTTTCACCCAGCACAGACATTGCCATTAGTAGTGTCAAACAAGAAGTTAGTGTCTTCATTTATATATGTGTATTTATCATTATTGGTCTGACAATGTTGGATGCCTTTCAAGTAATTATGGAGAGGCAATAAATAAATAGGTTGTGGATCATGGCCGGAGGGTGCATGTTTGATTGCTTTTTTTTCCTCGCAGTTTAGGCTTGTTAAGGCTAGAGCCCTTATAGCCCTGTGCCCTCCTTGACTTCTATATACATTGTTTAGTGAACTCCTCCACCTTGTCAATGCTAATTATGTTTCTATTACATTGATGGGTGCAGGGTGTACACGTTATGCTTAAAGCACTTCTGTTTAAGAAGATTTGTTTTCTCTAAATCAAATATTTACCATTATTAACAAATCTACTTTCATATTAGTAGCACATGCAAATCTCTTGCAGTGTGGTTAGATGTGTTAAAGTACAATATAATTGCAGACCACCTGCAAACAAAGTTAAAAGTTGCCTACGTCACTACAGTTCAGTAATTATGTGCGCACACGTAAATACAAAACCGTTTTTAAGTATAATCAATAACTTTTCTGTTCTGTGGTTGGTAGTGTTTCATACATTTTTATATTTTGTATAGTGATTACATGCCTTTATATTTTTTCCTTTATAAATCAGCAGCTGTTAAGTAGTTGGTAGCTCTTTCCTTTCCAATTTTGGTGCATGAGTTTGTGATCTAATAAAACAAGAATTGACATTGCCAACATTGCAGCTTCAACTCCAAACTTGTTATTCAAATAAATATTTAATTTTTTTTATTGCTCTTGTACATCCTGAGTGTTTTTTCTTTTCTTGCTGCTTCTATGACCTGGAGTTTTTCTATTTCTGCATCTGATACTATGCTCACTAGAGGATAAATACATTAATTTAGTTCACAATGTAGTGAAAGTGCTGACTTAAAATGTATGCATTATTTCTGTGTCCAAATATATTTTTGTGCACATATGTAACGTGGTATTTACTTTTTAGGGGGGATCATTCTTTATTCACATGGCAATATTTACATTAGGATCCTCCAGTATAAACAAAAATTGGTGCCGTATTTTTTCCACAGCCATGTTGTTTATCATTTTCTCCCAGCTCTCTAAATGTTAAAATTGCTGCAGTATTATATACTTGTGTTTTCATCATAATCTGAAAAAGTCCTGCAACTGAGGAAGGAGTAAGGGTACAAGTAACACATTGAATAGTTTTATATGTTTTAAGACAGTTTTTCTCATTCAGTTGCATACATTTCCATTATATAAGGTACAGTGAAGGAAATAAGTATTTCATCCCCTGCTGATTTTGTTACAATACACTTACCATCCGATTTTTAAACTAATCATTTCTTTGTGAGTGGGCAAACATTCAAAATCAGCAGGGGATAAAATACTTATTTCCTTCACTGCCTAACATGTATACTGCCAATCTACCTGGCGCACAAAACAATAGACAACCTCAAAAAATGGCAGCGCAAGTGTATGTTCCATAAACAATAATAACATAACATAAAAGTGCTTAAACAATAATTCAAATGAGAATATTGTGTTAATAAAAATCGTGATAAATCGGTTCACAAAACTGCGTATCAGAAGTTCGTCTCCTCAATTCGATCACCAAGTGAATCCATAAACACTCTCAAGTCAGTCTAATGAGCATGCATACTCTCCTCCAAGACACCTTGTGCTCAAAACCACACCCGGGGACGTGGCTCAACTATGATGGTGTGAGAAAGCTCCAGCGCTGAGCTCTGCGCCAAAGCGGGGGATATTCCAGCAGCCCACTCATTCTGCTAGCCCTATTCCTCCATGTCGAAGCGGGAAAAACCTACAGGCACACCCGGCACCCCTCATCAATGTATCACCCACAAGTTCCAACATGGCACCTTCCTGCCAGACACCATCTACGGCCGCGTCTTCTCTAGGAGCTTCAACGAACCACACACTCAAGGTGGATGACCCGCAATTGCCTATTCCTGCCCCCGTGCTGCTGCTGATGGACTCCCTAGACGACTCCAGCACCTCCATGAAGCTCTCTCCTGCAGATGAACAGGACATCCGCTGGTTCCTACAAGCCCTCCCTACTAAGGCAGACATCCAGAAGATGCTCGACCAGCTTACGGGGGCTCTGCAGGGAGAAATTACGGACCTCTGTTCCACTTCTTCAGCAGTGGACCAAGGCTGATGGCTCCAGAAACCTAACAGGAGGGAACTACCTATCGCATTCAGCTGTGGAGGAACTACTGCACCGCCAACACTTGCTTGCCATGTAGCTACGGCAGGAAGATGCGGAAAACAGGAGCAGAAGGAATAATATACGGCTCCGGGGCTGATCTGCAAGCATTGATATTGAGCATGTTTAATATACTGTTGATAAACCCCACAGACACTCACCTCAAGTTAGATCGGGTGCACAGAGTTCCAGCAACCATTCACCCTTCTCAGTCGGAGCCGAGAGAAGTGTTACGCAGAGTACATTTCTATACTATTATAGAGGAGATTCTGTGAGCAGCTTGGCGAAAAGGCTCTCTAGATGTTGATGGGGCCACAGAGCAGCTCTTTCTGGACTTCTGTCCTCAAACACTTTACCGCCAGCACCAAATGAGGCCCTTCCTGGACTATTTGCGAACTCAGGGTGCCACCTACAGATGGGGCTTCCCTTTATCCCTCATGGTCAAAAAGGATAACACTGTTCAACAAATTTTTATTTTTTGCCAGTTTTGGAAACAAAAGGATCCATTTCTTAATGAATTTCACATTCTGAGTTCAAATATAACAATGAAATTTGTCAATTGGCTCTAGTTTTTCTGTAAACGGAAAGTTTTCTACTATAGGCGTAATGACTACATAATGCACAATAATTATATAGATAGATGTCTTTCCACAAATATAAAGCAAGTGATATTGACTACATAACAAAGCCTAAATGGCATAATATATTGCATAGGATTACCAAGAAAAATTATAGCCATAAGCTAAGTTGAATCATTTTAATACTTAGGATTCTCACTAGTTTTGTCTTCAGTTTGTGTCGGTTTTGCTTCTCTTGGCTTTTCTCTTGTATTCGAGGAAAGGGCTATCTCTTACAACTGCACGTGACTACACGCTTCAGGTTCTTCCTCACTTGACTCAACCACGAAGGATTCTGGTGCTTTAGGAATTGGTAGACCCCTCTCCATGAGGAACTGGACGTATTGCCGATGGAATATTTGGATAGTGCACAGATAACTTTTTCTTCTTATTTAGCCCTTTTACAATTGGAGGCACCATACAAAAGTAACAATTACTAACATGATCTGTTGGCTCTCTCAAATCATTGGCACAGCGAAAGGCATAGATGCCTTTTTTCCATTCAACCATTGCTCCAGTGCCGTCCCACAAGAATTGCAGCATATATGTGGTGCCCAGCTCTTGTCCTGGTCTCCTATCTTGCAGCCAAAATACAAGTTGTAGGCTTTCTTAATCATTCCTGTTATCCTCCTTTTTTGTGAGATAAAAGTTATTTCACCGCAGATATAGCAGAAATTATCTGCTTTATTCACACAAGTTCGAGGCATTACTGAATAGCCTATATAAGCATAAAACGAAATGTAAAGACGCTGTCGAACTACAATCAGCTACAGATACTGCAGCTTTTATGCAGTGAAGTGATGCAATTAAAGGCTAATATTGCATCATCTCAGTATACATGCAATTTTCTATTGGTCACCAGTATCAATTGCGCAATATGCAGCTGAAGTTGCATCATAATTTTGAATGGCTTACGTCATTAGATGGGTGAATATATCATGGAAACTAGAGCCAATCAACATTTTTTAGGGTCATTTTCGTTTTCAGCACCCCAAAATTATGTAAGATTAGCTAATTTTATGCCCAAAACTTTTTACCTGTTGAACAGTGATAATCAAGACTTCCAGCTCCAACATCCAGCTCAATTGCAGCAGTTCCGTTCCTGGATTGTGAAGCCATGGCATTCCCCGATTGGTTGGACCTTACGGAGCCACGAGTAACATATTCCAGACCTCGCCTGAGGCCTCAACAAAAGAGACGCCCGCGCTCTAGATGCCAGAGCGCCGTTCCGGCTCACCTGGATCCAGAAGTTGGAGATGACTGACTGCCGTTACTACTCATGAGCTACGAGCCAGACCCAGGCCTTGTGAGCAGACTCGCCTCTTCTTCACTCATTATGACTGACTTACCTCCCATTTTTTGTTCTAGTGTGTTCCACTCAGGTGACTATCCTCCACACACTCACTGGATTATGAGGAGTTCACCCCCTCTTTCGGAGTAAGCTAGCGGCAACCTGCTGCATTGTACCTTTTGTGTGAGATGTTTTAGCAGACCCGATGGAGGGGGATACTTCAGGAATCGTTTGTGTTGTATATGGGTTTATCTAACTGTTCATGGTGTATTGGTTAGGCAGTCGAGGAGGATGCAGGTCTCTGTCGTCATGCACATTCTCCTGGAGGGTCAGTTTGGGAGTAACCGGGGACAGCGTCCGCTCATAATCTAGGATCCTCTA